TGGAGCACAGGGTAGGGAATAGACACAGGATAGTTTGGGTGCTGGGAAGGTGGAGGGCAAACACAAGAAGTAGAAGGGGAATGGAAAAACAAAGTGGATGGGAGAACAGCTAGTCAGATTTGCCTGGGCTAAGTGGGACAGAGGTAAATAATGATGTATGCACAACCTTGGAACAACAGGTCTCTGGGATACAGGGATTGAGGCATGGCTTGAATGGGTAAAAGTGGGTAAATAATGTTAAATTGCTTGGCTGTCTTTTGAATCTTGGTTTCCCTTGCACACATTTATACCCCACACTGTCTTGCCTCTTTTTACTTACTCAATCTCCCACACTGCCTTCCCTCCCCTCACACAATCATCCCCCACACTGCTTCCCCTCCCCTCACTCACCCACCCCCACACTGCATTCCCTCTCCTCACTCACTCCTCCCCCACACTGCATTCCCTCTCCTCACTCACTCCTCCCCCACACTGCTTCCCTTCCCCTCACTGTGATACAATGTTTCTTTATAAATGAATCTATGCATGTGAAAATGTGAGTTGATTAAAAGTCAATTTTAATAAATTTCATCCTGGATCATATTCAGTGATTAAGTTATAGTAGAGTTGATTTTGACCCATAACAACCACCTTCATATCATTTTAGAACTGAACCCCACAGTATTTTGAATTGCTAAACTTTTCCAAAGCAGATTACCAGGCTTGTGCTCTGAGGTTCATCTTGATTGATTTGGCCCTCCAATCTTTTATTCAGCTGCCCAGTGTGTTAACCATTTGTGCCACCCAGGTGATATGTAGATATGACAAAAGTCATGTGTTATGATGATATTTAGAAAAGGCAGGTATCCTAAATTTTAAGAAAGAAAGAAAGAAAGAAAGGGAAAAATAAAATCCATTTTAGAAAAGTAAAATGCCCAAATGCATTAACCTAGGAGATGTGTGGGTACCTATCACTGTTAGCTCTAGCTCTCTGCAAACACATTTAAAGGAAAAAAATACATTCTTTTAGTATTATTATTTTGTTTAAGGTATACACAGCAAAATATGTACCGCTCAATAATTTCTACACGTATGTTGTAAATTCAGTGACATTGACTAGACTGCTCAAATTGAGCTTTCTTACCCTCCCTTTCCAAATTGTTCCTTCCTCACTTACTTTTTGAGTAGCTGTTGTCAATCTAAACCCATGTAGACAGTTCTTCAAAAGAGCACAATGATCAAGACAAACATTAAATACTCTAACATATTATTTTATTTAAGTAAGACTTCAGGGGATCTTTTAGGGTTAAAGCTAAAGGGTACAAAGATTATTTTAAGGCAGTAATTTCTGGGGTTCATCCAGCCTCAATGGATCCAGAAAGTCTGGATACCATGAGATTTTGTAAATCTGTTCTGCATTTTCTTTCCTATTGGTTGAGATTCTAATATAGAAGTGTTGGCAAAAACATTTAGTAAAGAAAATGAGTAACTGTTGAGGCTCTCTATGTGCAACCAAAAACCTCACGGAATTTGTTTTCTTGGTATGTATGTTTAGGGTCCTGGCCTCATGGGGCATATACATCCTAGTTAATTGGCCTAATAATGTGTTTAGCACTTCTGTTCTATCTCCTTGTTGTTGTATAGTGCCTAGGGTCTCAAAAGCTTACAAGTAGTTATGCAAGCCATAACATTTAGTGTCTATCATCCTTGAACAGTAGAAGAAAAGGAGAATTAGGAACAGGAGGAAGATACAGAGTGTTGGTTTATTGCCTCCCTAACTGTCTCCTTTTCCATGAAACCAGAAGAACTGGATGGTGCCTGGCTACTTTAGTGAACCTTTTGATCAAGGAATCTATAGGAGAATCCTGATCAAAAGTGGGGGAAACCTAGAACAGAATTTCAAATTCTCATGGAATCCAGACTTTGTGGAGTCATGGAAACTGGATGAACCCCTGAGACAATTACCCTGATATCATCTTTATACCATAAACTTAAAATAGCTCCTGATGTCTTCTTCTTCTTCTTCTTCTTGATCATAGCTTATGAGTTTATTTTTTGAAAAACTTTTCATCCAGAATACCATTTCAGACTATTTGTATACACATAAACAAGAGATTAAAGATAATGAACAAACAGAATGAAAGGAAACAGAATAAACTGACTCAGGTTTGATATGGTCATGGGAGAGAGGAGGAAATTCCCTTCTGAAAATGTCAGTGCGGTATATGTAGAGATCTTCTGGGTGGTGGGGTGGGAGGTGGGATGTGACAAAGAGCTGGACCACTGGGCTTCATCAAGATCACTTCAGAATCCACATTCCACAGGGTTGCCCACATGAGCTCTGTATTTTAGGACATCTTGTCTCTCCCTGAGTCATACCAATTTTACTTTAGTTCTGTCCAGGTGCCCTCACTGCTGAGTCCTTGCGAGGTTCTTTTTTTCTTCTTCTTCTTCTTGTATCGATTGTTTTTCTTCCAATTACTTTTATTGGTAAAGAATGTCTGCCTTGAGCATGAAGCTCCTGGTGTGGCACTATGGGTTAATGCGCTGGACTGCACGGTCACTTTGAACTGCAAGGTCGGTGGTTCAAGCTCACTAGCTGCTCCTTGAAAACCCTATACAAGATCACTGTGAGTCGGTACCAACTCAACTACACTTAACAATAACAACAACAATATATGGGCTCAGAGTGATAGCAACTTGAAAGATTAGACAAGAGACTTAGGGGACAGTAGGTTTATTTTAATGGGGGAGCAACAGCAGGTGAGAATGGCTGAAAAACTTAATTTCATCAATACAACCAAATTTTGCATGTAGTAACTGTTGTATTGGTGTCTGATTTGCTATGTATATGAGGAATCTTCAAAGATTCATTACAAATATTCCGTTAACTTTTTTCCCATTTTTCCATGAACTTTTTGTGTAGCACTGTGGGCTAATGCACTGGACTGCAAGTCATTTGAACCACAAGGTTGGTGGTTCAAGCTCACCAGTTGCGTCTTGGAAATCCTATACAGGGTCGCTATGCATGGGAAATGACTCGATAGCACTTAACAACAACAGCAACTTGTATGCTCAACAATAATAGAAAATAAATAAAATTATTTAAAAGAGATGGGAAGAGGAGGCATGAAAATATAAAGTTAAACATGCACACACAACATTCATTAATAGAAGCCGGGCAACATCCAGTTCTGCTGGTTTCCTGACAAAGGAAGCAGTTAATTATGGAGGCAATCATACTTTTCATCTTCTCCTGAGTCCTTCTTTCTCTTCTGCTCCAGGCAAATAAAGGCCAACAGGCATGTCCTTGACTTTGTGGTTTGGGGAGCGGCCCCCACCTCCCACACCCCTAGGCTTCTGACATGTCTGCTTCCCTGGCGTCTTTCAGAGAACTCCGCACTTCGGATGTGTGAGCAGCCTCTTCAGTGTGAGATAGCTCACCAGCTGGGACGTGACCCGGTGCGCTATGACGTCACAGGCTGGATCCACAGAGCCAAACCCAACCTTTCAGCTCTGGATGCTCCCCAGGTCCTGCATGAGTCCAAAAGGTGATCCAGGGCCAGGGCTTTGCTGGGGGAACATGGGGGGCACGTGAGCCACTGTGGTTCCCTCCTCATTGGGTCTGTGCCATCATATCATCACAGCTCAGAGTAGGAATGCCTTCCTTCTGTAATGAGACCAAGAGCTGAAACTCCAATTGTATGGGTATAATGTCTCCCAGGGGTATGAGTGAAACCAACTGGGAGTAAAGCTGGCATTCTAGGGAAGAGAAACAAAAGTGAAAACACTGTGACTTCTCATTTTGGCATTTTGCCTTTCATTAAGTCTGAGAGATGATGCGGCTGGAACAACTTTTATGGACATCCGAGAACTAAGGGGTCATAAAATCGAAATGATACATTTTGCAGCATTAAAAAAAGCTCAGACTCAAACTGCTCTCAGAGAGCTGGTGGCCATCCTTGGTTTCAGGTCAGAGTTATTGAAAAGTGCTGGCCTCAGGGGTGTGTGCATGTAAGTGTGCATGTGAGCATATGTGTTTGCATGAGTGTGTATGTGTGTGAGCAGGTTGTGTGAGTACATGTGTGTGTGCACGTGTGCAGGTGACAGCTCAGTGCAAGTGTTTGTATGTGTGTACATGTGAGTATGTGCCTGTGTGTACATGTGTGTCTGTATGAATGTGACTGTGTGTGATCATGTGTGTGGTCGTGTGTGTGTACATATGTGTAAGGGTGTGTGAGGATATATGAGTGCGTGAACATGTGAAAATTTGTGTATGCTTGTGTAAATTAGTGTGTATGTAAGTATAACAATGAGTGTGAATATGTATGTGTGAGTGTGTATGAATATACTTGTGAGCATGTGTATGTGTTCACATGTGCCTGCGACAGCTCAGTGCATATGTATGCACATGTGTACATGTGAGTATGTGCCTGTGTGACTATGTATGTGCGCATGTATGATCATGTGTGGTGAGTATGTAAGTATGTGTGAGTGTGTGAATTTGTATGTATGAAAGTTTATGTGTAAGTATGACAGTGAGTGTGAATATGTGACTATGTGTGAGTGTGTGTGAGCATGTGTGTGTATACATACTTGTGTACACTGACCCTATCCCTAGCTTAGTGCTGGACCCCTGCAGGAGATAAGAGGGGGAAACCAGGAGGGTCCAGAGACATGAGGTGGACAAGAGACAACGTTACTGACCATTCTTCATGTGCCTGGTATGGCTGGCATTTATTCAACCCCATCCTGTAGCTCCAGAAATGGTTTCTGCCTGTGAGGCATATGTTCTTGCAGGAAATATATATTGAGCACCTAGTGTGCCATGCTGTGGGATAAGTACTGGACTGCTAACTTCAAGGACAGTGGCTCAAACCCACCAGCCACTCCTCAGGAGAAAGATGAGTCTGTCTTCTCCTGTAAAGATTTACCATCTTGGAAACTATATAGGGTCACTATAAGTCAGAATTCAACTTGATGGCAATGGGGTTTGTTGGTCTATTTTTGTATGTGTAATAGAAGAAAGGACTCCTGGTGTGGCGCTATGGGTTAAGGGCTGCACTTCAAAGTTGGTTTGAACTGCAAGGTCCCGCAATTCAAGCTCACCCTGTGTATTCTGAGTCACTTTCAGCCCAGCCTTTTGTCCAGCACTCTATCCCTCAAAGTCCCGCTGTGAGCCATAAGCTTTTCATTGGCTACTTTCTTTCTGGTCTTTTTCAGTCTGGGTGCTCTGCTGAATCCTCTCCACCACAGGTGACCCTGCTGATATTTGAGATCCTGGTGGCATAGATTTCAGCATCACAACAATATACTAGCCAACCAAGTATGACAAACAAGGAGATGGGTAACCAAGATGGCTCTGCATCTAAGAAAGTAAAGTCTGAATAGGGTCACTGTAGAATGCTGCAGGAGCATCTGGTAGAAAGAGAGAGGTTCAAGGCTAAGAGTAAGCATTTGTCTGGAAACAAAGACACATCTGGCAGAGAGTACTGTGACGTGGGACTTGAGGGAAGGGTTCAGGAAGCAGACTGGAAGGAGTCAGTGTGGCCCCCTAAAGCCCCTTTTCTTTCCTCTCCTGTAGGGAGGAGTTGCGGAGCCTGTTCCAGTCCCGGATCAAGCTACCCCCTATCTGTCGGGCTGTGGCAGGACTGGAGGGCACCTCTCAGCAGGCCTTGCAGCGGATCTGCGCTGTGAGGAGGACGTTTGCCAGCAGCCTGGCCGCGGTGAAGAGGAAGGCTGCGTGCACCCAGATTAGGCTGCAGATGGTGAGCAGGAGGCCCTCCTCTCCAACCTTCCCCTGCCCTGGGGAGTCCTCATCACCCCTTGTCCATTGAGGAAGAAGTGGAGAGTCAGCGGAGCAGACGCTGGATGGAGGCTCCACAGATGGGAAGTGGTGTGGTTCAAGGCCAAGGCTATTTGATTTTGAGAGGTGACAGGAAGTTCCTTGAAGAAAGGGGCAAATGTCACACCCAGGCCAGTGTGTCAGCCTCTCTCACCTATATGTCCATGTTTTCACTGTTAGGCCTCGTCAGATGTGAGTATCTCACCTAGACCTGGAACATGTGGTTCCCACAACTAATGAGACACCTTCATCTGTCCAGGGTCAGGCTGAGCTCAGAAGGGCTAGGTGTGGAAAAGTTAACTTTGGGGAAAACACAAAATTGGCAAAGTCTTATCGTGGAAAAGACCTTATCTCAAAGCTGATTCTAATAACAGCCAGGGGACTGAGGTACCTGGGCAAGCCACTTGCTTGCTCTGTGCCTCAGTTTCCCCCATTTGCTTCAGAAAATGCTGCTATTAAGGTTCCTTGTCAGGGCAGAAGAGGAAGGTCCTTGGTGTAGGACACAGGGAAGGACCCCAGTAATGCCCAGACATAGACTGAACATATGTCTGGGAAGTGTCCAGACCCTGACCTTGTTCCTCTCTTTCTAGGACGCACTGACCAATGTGATCAGACGGTCTCAGTTGTACTTCATCCACTGCTTGGTGCCAAACTCAATGGTGGACAGCAAGTCCGGGCAGGGGCCTCCAACTCTACTCCAGCCTGGGGGAGATAAGCCTAGAGCAGGTGGAGTCCTGACCCCGGACATCCCAGCTCTGCGGGCCCAACTGGCAGGGTCCCACATCCTGGAGGCGCTGCGTCTGCACAGGATAGGTAAGAGACAGTGAGTATTGGTACACCTGTCTCCACTCCTCGTCTCTGCCCACCTCCCAGAGGCTGGAGCTCCAGCCATGGGCCATGAGCTTTCCACGCAGCATCTCCTTTACTCTTCCCAGCATTCTTGCCAGGGAGATGCTGCAACTACCCCATTTAACAGATACAAAAACAGAGGTTCAGAAAGATGAAAGAACTTGCTCAAGATCACCCAAATAGGACAAGGCAGACAATAGATTTGAACCCAGTTCTGGTGTAGGCTAAGCCCTGAACTGCTCATCACAAGTTTAGTGGTTGAAATCCACCGTTCTCTCCTTGGAAGCCCTATACAGGATTGCTATGAGTTAGACCAGACTCTTCGGCACTTTACAACAACTATGAGCATAATATTGAATGACACAGGAAATGTCAAAAGAAGATGGAAGGAATACACAGTCACTGTACCAAAAAGAATTGATCAACATTCAATATTTCAGTAGGCAGCATGTGATCAAGATCCGATGATACTAATGAAGAAGTCCAAGCTGCACTGAAGGCATTGCCAAAAAAAACAAGACTGTAGGAATTGGGGAAATACCAGTTGAGATGTTTCAATTCAAGTCTGTAAGCTCTCACTCATCTATGCCAAGAAATTTGGAAGATAGTTAGCCGATCAGCTGACTGGAAGAGATCCATATTTGTGCACATTACAAAGAAAAGCAATCCCACAGAATGCATAAAGCATGGATCAATATCATTAATATCATACACAAGGAAATTTTTGCTACAGATAATTCAAAAACAGTTGCAGCACAGGGAGTTGTCAGGAATTCAAGCCAGATTCAGACGAGAACATGGAACTAGGGATATCATTGCTGACATCAGATGGATCTTGGCTGAAAACAGATTACCAGACATATGTTTATTTTTGTTTCATTGGCCATGCAAAGACACTAGACTGTATGGATCATAACAACTTATAGATAGCATTAGGAATTCTATATATGCTTATTTATGCTCATGAAGAACCTGTATATAGACCATTAGGAAGTCGTTTGAACAGAACAAGGGAATATGGAATGCTTTAAAATTAGGAAAGGTGTGTGTCTGGGTTGTAGCCTTTCTCAATAGTTATTTAATATGTGTACTGAGCAACTAATCTGAGTAGCTGAACTATACAAATAACAATACAGAGGAAGACTCATTAGTAACATTTGATAATCAGATGATATAACTTTGCTTTCTGAAAGTGAAGAGGACTTGAAATACTTACTAATGAAGATCAAAGAATACATCCTTCAATATGGATTACATCTCAATATAAAGTAAACAAAAATCTTCATAACTGGACCCCAAAGCAACATTGTGATAAGACTGAAATTGCCAAGAATTTCAATATACTTGGATCCACAATCAATGCCCAAGGAAGCTGTATCAAGAAAGCAAATTTTGAGAACAAACAAGGTGACTGATCAGGTGGAAGTGTTGTAAAGGAGATCCGTCAACAACACAGAATACCCGACCAAGTAGGCTTAGGGGCTGATCCCAGAACTCTGAACCACATATAAAGGAATATTTAGAAAGTTGGAAGGCTAACAGCTGGGGGAATTTGTGGCAGAAGCAAGAAATCTATTGCTTTCTAGTCTGGGACACTTGGCTGCTCCAGAAGCCGCCATCTTGAGTGAGACCACGCGGAGGAAGGATCGGAGCAGTCACAGATGCCTGGCAGAACCGCTGAGATAAAGGTGTGGACATTCTTTTCTTTTGGTATCTGTTCATTGGTCCCTTGTTATCTGCGCACCTCCATTCTGGTGACTATAGGGGTGCCTGAGCTAGTGGGCACCCTAGCCCCACCCTCGGAGGGCTCTACTACGCATGCTCACAGATCTCCTCGAATTTTAAAGAGACAGTTTCCAATTAAAACCAAATGGCCACAGCCGGTCCTGAACTGTTTCCAACTAGAAAAAAGGCCTGAATGGGGATTGTGGAGCAGGACAAACAGACAAAAGAGGAAATAGGCTGAAAATTAAATCCTAAGTTACGTCAAAACGACCAACAGTGGTATCTTGAAACTTCTCAGGAAGAAGAGTGAAAAAGGAAGCCCATTCCCTGATCACATCTACCTGGAGGCATTCAGAAA